CCTTCGTCAAAAGAGCAGGGATTTGGAAGAAAGGCTCGCTTCTTCGGAAAAGAAGTGTGGTGCACTTGAAGTATCTAACAACGAGCTTACCCAAAAGGTTGCCTCGGCTGAAGAAACAGTTGATTCGCTCAGGAAATCCAATGACGAAGCCTCAAGTAGACTTTCGTCTTCAGAAAAAGACAATGAAGCCCTTCAAAAGACCATTGAGGACTTGAACGCGAAGCTGGCATCTGTCCAGAAGAGCTGTGATTCGTTTAAAGATCTGAACGCCGAATTAGCTGACAAGCTCAACAAGGCGAATGATACCTGCAACGAGCTGAGCCAAATTAAAGAACAACTCACTGAGAAAGTAGCGGCTGCTGACGATTCAGTTGCCACTCTGCGTAAGGAAAACGACAAGTTGTCTGCCGAGCTGAGTGCTGCAGAAAAGAAATGTGCAATGCTTGAGAGCACCAACAGCGATCTAACTGCCAAACTCAGCGCAGGTGATGACACGCATGGCTATCTTCAGAAGGAGAATGTCGCCCTTACAGAGAAGTTGAGCTCGGCAGAAGCCAGTGTCGGCTCGCTACAGAAGGAAGTACAGACACTGAATGAACGACTTTCCGGAATGGAGGAGGCGAGTGTCGCTGCTCAGAAGTCAAACGAAGAGCTGTCGAAGAAACTGCGCGACTCGGAAGGCAACTGTGATTCTCTGAACAACGAAAAGAAGACGCTGACTGAGCGTCTTGTTGATGCTGAAAAACGATGTGAAACACTCCAAGAAAGCAACAAAGAATTGACCTCTAAGCTCCTAACCGGAGACAAAACTAACGAAAGTCTTCAAAGTGTACACAATGAGCTTGAAAAGAAGTTGGATGAACAAGCAAAGGCCTTGGAAGTAAAGACGTCCGAACTAGCATCACTGTCATCACAGGTGTCTGCCCTCCAAGCAGAATCCAAACAATCCTCAACCGCTCTGGCCGCCGCCGAGTCTGAGCTGTCTGGCTTGAAGTCTGAGAACGCGCGTCTTCTTCAGCAGGTTTCATCAGGCGAGGACTCTCAGAAGCTCGCGGAAAGTTTCCGTACGGAAATCGCCGAGTTGAGAGCTGAAATCGTGCAAAAGTCAGCTTCTCTGTCGTCTGCAGAGAGCGCGAAGCAACAGGCGGATGGTCAAGTTAGCGAACTGACTGCTCAGCTGAAAGAGTCGCGGGCTGAAGCAGCTCGTGTGGAAACTGAGCTGAAGAAGCTCCAGCAAAGCTCAGCCGACAGCTCCGCGGCGGCCAGTGCTCAGGAGACGGAGCTTGCAGAGCTGAGAGAGCGTTTGTCTCAAGTGGAAAGATCCACGGCTTCATCGTCACAACAGCAGGAGCGAGCGCTGGCAGAACGCGACTCCGAGCTTGTGGCCGCTCGCGGGGAGGCCGAGACCTCCCGAGCCGCTTTGGCTGAGCGGGACAGCCAGCTGCAGCTGCTTCGGGACGACAACCGGCAGCTGCAGGACCGCTGCCTCCAGCTGACGCGCGAAGCTGCTGCTGCCGAGGAGGCCCTCCGCAGCCGCCCCGCGGAGGTGCCTCCTCCGCCCGCGGCGGCATCGACTCTCACCAATGGCGCAGCCGACCCCACCGCGCATGTCGACTTCCTCAACAGTGTCATCGCCGAGCTCCAGAACAAGAACGACGAGCTGAAGCGGCAGGTTCGCGTGCTTGTCGTTGGCGACGAGGACGACGACGAAGCGGGTGCGTCGTCGCCGACGACTCCAGCACGTCCTGCGCAGCCGCCGCCGCGTCTCTGGTGTGATATATGTGAGGAGTTCGATCGCCATGACACCGAGGACTGTCCTACCCAGTGCAGCGAGCCGCCGGAACCGACCCCGAGCCGGCACGGTGGACAGAGGGGAGTTCGCCGCCAGTTCTGCATCTCCTGTGAGATGTTTGGACACTCCGCCGCCGAGTGCGACTCAGGTGAGACGTTCTAGTGGCGCGGTGAGACATTTTAGTGATGTTTCAAAGAAATGAGTGGTTTCATAACCGTGAGTGAATCGGTCTAGTGCAATGCTCTGCTCTGCGCGGCACGTGAGGGTAACACGCAGCGCGCTTGATACCAAAGTGAGACGTTCCTGCAGCCTTTTTCGGACGCTGACACGATCTGAGCCTCACTTCTGAAGGCCGTGCGGTGTGCTCGGGCGCCCCGCTGAGTCATCCATCCCGAGAGGGCGTTGGAGCCGACCAGTCCAGCCGGCGATAGCCGAGACGGGCGCCGTCTTGGTGGAGAGCGGGTGGACCGTGCACAGTGATAAGCGTGGGTGGTGCTCCAGTGACGCGGCGGGTCGTTTGATCACTGCTCCAGTGACGTCATTAACCAGTACGAGACCGGACCGGGGACGAATCGGCGGCGAGGTGCGGGAGAAGCGGTGTGTTAACAACTCAGATAGCGCGGCCGGGCAGTGAGGAGAAAGCGGCGCGATGGAATCCGATCAACGCCCGGCGGAACGGAGCGGAATGGGGCTGGGTGTGATGGAATGTGAATTACTCAGAGCCAGGGACACGACTCTGGTGGCAGTGGTGACGCAATCAGTGACTCTGACTCGGGAATAGGAAATGAGTCGATGACTCGCCAGATTAGAATAACGGAATAGCGATGAGAGAAGGCTGCTACGCATGACAGGACGCCCAGGAATGGATATGATGTGACGCTGAATATTTCAGGTTGAATGCCGTGACAGTATACGCTAGCTATAATGTGACCTAACTGGCATTTCGATAGCATAAACTTACCGTGACGATTTTGTCGGCTTGCTTAGATATACACCGCTCAATATGATGTAAGCTACGCAACTGACGAGTGTTAGTGGGCATAACATTGTTTAACGTAGGATTAGCTTTGTGATGTGTTCCGGATTGAGCATTGTCTGTCGCCGATGTCACTCTGCCTTACATGTGCGGGTATGTTAGATCTGCGTCTCAAAGTCTATAGGAAGCCATATACGCACCGTTTCGGTCATATCAAATCGTTAATAGTTTTGAGGTGTGTCACTTAGAATAGTCGTATAGGTAGGTCACCAATGCGCGTAGGTCACCAAGTCACAAGGCCACCTATGCTGCCATTTGCAGGGTTGTTAACATGTTGATTGTTACGTCTTGGCACGCAAAACGAACACGTTTATATCGGTCTGTGATTGTAGACTTCCATGATGTACATAATTGGTCACCGTAATTTGACTGGATCCTAGAACCCAGAGAAAACCACAGAGGAATGACATGACGGGGAGCGGACGTGTGTGAGGAATTCTGTGTAGTTTGATGGATGTTGTAGGGCTGATTGCGGTTTATGTCGTTTGCTGTTGTGGGATATGGCGTGGCTGAATGGAGAGAGTTACGTGTTTGTGTTTCCGTTCTGGTGGAGCTCGCTAAACTTTGATTCTGTCAGCGAAAATGCGGTGTCATAGCTAGTCTTTACCGTCTACCCTCGACTGTCTGAATCTCGCTTGTCCGTGCCGGTGCCGTCAGTGAAGGGTCAGCGTCGTGCCTTCGACGTCACTCCTTGGGCTTCGCGCAGCACCCTCACTGACGTCACTAGATCGTCGTTCTCAAAGCTGCACTTCTCAATGTCGCTCGGCTCTCAATGTACCGTCACTTCACTTGACGCTGTATATGCCTCTCAACTATGGGCGAGGCTCTGTATTTGGTTAGCTTGCCGTGTCTAACAGACCAGACATGTGTTAGTGTTATGGTTGGCGACTTGTTGTAAGCTGATCAGCAGTGTTATTCAGTTTCCTCGGGAGCGAAGTGTTTCCCGGTAACAAGCATTATCTCAGTTTGCGTGAAGTTATAAGCCCGGCTGTAACGTGACGTGATAGGCGAGCGAAGTTTATGAGCCCATGCATATCAGTTTATAGAAGCGGCCCGCGTCAAGTGGACGGAGCTGTGTAATGACTCGAGTGTTCATGGCTCGTGTGTTCGAGTCACGACCGCTGGCTCGAGTTATTGGGACGTTTGCTGCGTATCGGCTAACAAAGTTTTAATTTTTAACAAAGCCTGGGCTTAACTTGTGTCGTCTCGGGTGCGAGTTGATTGTTCACAGCAAAGAGTGTTGTTTTATCCGATAACTGAATGAATAAATTATACTCAACCAGAAGGAAACACGACCTTTTTGATCAAGTTAGATAGGGCGAGTTTGCTGACAGGTTTCTGTCGAGTTGCTGAGGACGGCTCTGAACGCTAGACTGATTTACATCGCCCTTGTGCTGGGCTGAATGAATCAAATGGTCTGTCGTCTATCATATTCCTGAAATTCCACAAGTATTTATCCCGAAACTAACTGTATAACACGGTAGGCACTCGCGTGACAGGGGCTAAAGCCTAAGCCCTGCATTACAGCCTGCGGCGACCCTAAACGTCCGAAGCGACCAATACATTTTTGTCGTAAGCTTTCCGTCAAAATATTCTGGGCTTCATTGTATCAATGATTTTAACGGTAGTAAAGTAACGCATGCATTTTCATTTCCCGATTTAAAACAATCGCGATTCGCGGCAGATATTGGCGATTTACCTTTGACAAATACTGAGATGCAAACTCGTCGGGCTGTGATTGTTATTAGTAGTGAAACAAAAGTTGCGGCTCTAGTAAAGGAAATATGACGCATCTTTCCAATTCTTGATTTCCTCTCAATTAACCTCAAGTTGTACAGAATTGATGAAATGATAAAATTTCATAATAGACCAAATGAAATCGCTACACGAATATGTGTTTTTGAAACAAATAAAATTAAAAAGAATTTCAGCAAAACCCAGCTGCCGGTCCTGAAACACAAACGAACTCGCGTGCCGTATGGTGCCGTAGTGCGGCGGAATTGCCGCCTGTTTAACCGACAAAACTGGTCCGTGTTATAATTGATATTTTTAGGCGAGAAATGACATTTTAGAGGTTTATTAGTTTAGGTCGGCTTACCTACCCGCATATAAATGCTTTTATAGTATAGACGGTGTTATTTTTTGCCTAAATATTGTTAAAAGCCCACAGTTTTGTATGCGCCGGTTTCGTATGAGATTTGGCTGCACGAGCATGCTGGCTGTCTTTGTTTATTTTGCTTGTAGTTTTATAGCGATGAATGTTTCAGAAAGTAATACTACTTCAAATCCTCATTTTTGTTGAAGATAATAAGAAGACAGGTACTGAAATATATTCATTAGTTTGTTTGCTCAGAATTATGGTATTGTTTTGCTGTTGTATTTCAGTCCTTGTTATTATCCTGTGGCTTGGCTCATTATTTTCTTTTTGTTTCGGCTTATCAACTTATTATTTAAAGCTGCCAAAGAGAAATTATAATATTTTGGAATGCTGCTGCTAATATTATTACCCATGTGCGTGGATATTGAAGCCTAGGTAGGCAATCTAGCATTGACAAAAACATTTGTGGTCTTGCTGTGTGAGCATTTGCGTTACAACTTATTGGGCTAAGTTTATGCATGCATATTAATTAAAAACAGTTACCTGATTATCAAGCAGTTAACAATTATTTTGTGTTATTTTGTTAATTTTTGGCAGTTTGTATCATTGCGCTTTAGTTGTGATAATAACCACACCAAAATTTGCTTTGAAATAATGTACACCTCAGTTTTCATCCAACTTCAAATAGGTTCAAAATTGCATCAAACCTAAAGAAGAAAGACTTGGCACCTTCTGGTTTTTCTTGGGTTTGTTTTACAACATAAACAAGTCAAGTGTTTGGGAGAAGTCAAGCTAGCAATCATGACCTTTCTTTCTTATTTGTAGGAACCTGCTGTAATTCCAACTTATTATTATTGTTGCCAGAGGGCTGTTCGGGTCCCTGCAGCATAGATCTGTGCTGCGTGCGTCATACTTGGGTGACGTCAACCGCCTGGCTCCGCCCACTCTCCGCCGGCACGCCGCGGCCGAGCGTCGCTGCAGCCTATTTCAAACGCGGCGAACCGTTGCGCGGGTGGACTGGTGATTTTCGCTCGAATAACAGTTAAATTGCGTTCAAATGTGGTTAATAGCAATGTGCCACCGAAAAGAGTGATAATGATACCCAAAAACCAGCATACAAACCGCTTGCAATAAGAAATATTGGATGGCAAACTTTAATCCGCGCCACTTTCGCCTCCTGCAGCACCGAATTTCGTGCTGCAGGAAAACGAAGCATGCTTCAGTAGGTGACGTCACACAGGCGGTGACGCAGTGGTGTGGGCGGGACTAACGGGCGACGCAGTCCTCACTGCGCATGCGTGCTGCAGCATATTTCATTTTGGCTGCGCAGCCGAACAGCCCTCAGTGTTAAGCTTTCAGTTTCTTTCAGTTTATGCTTAAATCTTATCAGTGTCTCCTCAATAATATTCTTAGCATATTTGCTGTTGCATTCATTCAGTCAGTACCAAACATAAAACTTTGTAATGTGCCAGAGGGTGTTATTTAGTGTCCCGCCCAAATTACATGAAAATTATTGGGCAAAATTGACACCCATGTGAGTGGTAGTTCTTGTTACAGGAGTAAGGTAGTAATAGTGTAAGGTAGTGATAGTGGTAAACAGTAAGTTTTGAATGATGACACTCATAATCAGACAAACAGTTTTAAGTTGTTATGATGGACGCCAATGACCACTGTAATCTGGGCACCCAAGAACCCAAATTCATCATCATAAGTTGTTATGAACTGATATAATAATTTCTAATGGTGTTAAATGCTACAATGCTACATTGCGCATTGGACAGGCACTGCCACTGACTGTTCCTTTGAAATATCTCAATATCAAGCCATTTTATTTCAACTGGGTTAAACATAAATTGATGTATATAGATTTGTTGTCTGGTATTTAGTAATCAGGTCAGCTAAAAGCCTTAAAAATTTGAGCTTTTCACAGCTGGTGAATGAATTGGTTTTGCTCTTCATGCCACCCTTGATATTCAATTACCCACAACAGACTCCAAATCAATGCAAGCTATTGGTGAAGTCCATTGAAACAATTCCATGTTGCATCACTTTCACTATGGTCAGCCTGCAGTGCTTTTAGAATGACATAGCACTGCAGGTGGTCTACTCACATTCATATGTAAATTCTCAATGCACCTTTCTGGACAACTTTGGCAAATATGTTTCATTAGAATAAGCAGCTCCAAGCCTTACCTGGCAACATTCACTGCAGTTATCCAATGTGTTTCAATGCTTACATTCTCTTCCTTTCCCCATTACAGCCCCCGTCACCGGGGCAGCGGCACCAGCAGCTAAGCCGGCATGGAGTACAACATGTCGTGGTTCGCGCCGGCCGGCGCGGCCCCCTACCTACTAGCCACCGATCTCAACGACGTGATGCTCAACAATGTCCTGGAGGCTCCGATGCTGAGCGACACCCCCCGCTCGGTGTCTCTGATGGCCGGAGGAGGGGGCGGCGGCGGCGGGGCCGGCGCAGGAGGCGGTGGAGGAGACCAGACGGCCGGACACGATATGGCCGCCACCGTGCCGCAGGAGTTTGTCGAGTGGGGCTACTCGGTGAGTCGGGGGAGGGGTAGAAACGTGAGAGGGGTGGTGTGTCATGAGATGTGGGTTTTGACGGGGTTGGGGGCTGAGTAACATGGGTGAAAGATCAGGGTTCAATGTTATGCAGTTGCATAGTAAATTATTTGGAGAAAAAAAAACTAAATGAAAATCATCAAAGATACTGCTGAGTAAAGGGGCCAATAGCCTGTGATATGAAAAGTCAGTTTGTGAATAGCTGAGATGAATCGGTTGGATCGACTTGCATGGACGGGGACCTCTAATCGTGGCCATAACCTTTGACTACCTATTACCTGACCAGCACCTTGTCCTGACCTTCACCATTTTACCCAGAACCTGACCTCGACCCCTGACCCCCATCCTCAGACCTTTAACGACTTACCCCGACCCCGGACCCTAGTGACCTCTGGCGCCCCCGCTGACAGGAGTACAGCGGGTACGACGTGGAGCTGAAGCCAGACGACATGGAACTGGATACCGAGGAGGACATTATGGGCGGCGGCGGAGACGGCAAACGGAAAACGTCGCACAACGCCAAAAAGCCCAAGGTACGAAAACGGAGAGTGAACAGTCATTCTCCAAGAACAGATTACGAATCGATTCTGATGTGTTAACTTTTGAAAGTAGTCTGTTGGTATTCCTCCAGCGTGAGAAGCTAGTTTGTTGATCTTAGTACCTACTTGGAGATTGAGATGTAAAGTGCTAGGAAAACATGCTTATGAAGTGATGTTTTGTCAGTTGGTTCTCTCTGTTAATTGAAGGCTGGTAAACCAAAATTAAGATATCGAACTCATTGTGCACATAGAACGCGAGTCAGTTTAGTTCCACATTGCAGCATCAAAACGACGTGTGCTTGTTTTAGTTCTGAATGCAAGACTATGCCGAATGTTCGCCCCTTGCACGAGATAACGCCCCAGCAACCTCTCTGAATGCGCTCGTATGGAGATGATCTGCCCTAATACCTTGGTCACGGCCCGTGCGGACTAGGACTATATCGTGCGCAGAACTGGTTCATGTTGGACGCTATATCCGGGATCGTGACCTAACGGGAGCCTTGTGGAATGCGCTCCAGTTTCGGGATTAGAAACAATGTGCTAAATTCTCTCCAAGGTTAGACGGCCATGAATATCGTGCATAATCATATGTGCCTTAATCTGATCGCTCTTTTTTCTCTTGGCGGATATTGTCATTTATTTATCGTGCGACAATCGGGTAATATCGATCCATTATTTGTTTCACAATTTTATTCCACTTACTTGAAAGGTACTTGAAAGATGCGATTGCTGGCTTAACTTATTATCGCACGATGATCACTGGTTATTTACGCAAGCTCATGAATGCTTAAGCCCTTTCCGGACCTAACAATTTACCCTCTTACAGGTGCACCTGGACCCCAAGCTGAAACTGAAGGGACCCATCACCTACGAGAAAGACGTCGACCCCTCTCTCATCCCTATCAACCGAGATGGCATGGCCCGCTGCGAGAAATGCGGTGCCATCGGCGTCCGTCACGCCTTCTACACCCGTGAGCGGCGCTACTGCAGTCTGCGCTGTGCCCGCTCCGTGGAGGGCCTGGCCGCGGTCTCCGACAGCGACCCTGCCACGCCCGAGGCGGCGCCGCCCGAGTCTCCGGCCTCCGCTGACTCGACCTGCTCCCTGGACGGCGACTCTGCGGCGTCGGCCGGCGCCGTGGTGCCCCGCCAGGCGCCGCACTCGTTCAGCTGGGACGCGCTGATGCGTGTGGCCGATTTCAGCGCGGCGCCGGTGCCCTGCTTCCCCCACGCGCCGCTGGCCGGAATCTGGGACGACGTCTGTGTCGGTCTCAAGGTGGAGATCGCCGGAGACGCGTCCTCGCCAAACGTCGAGTCGGCCTGCTGGGTGGGGACCGTCCTCCGTGTGGAGGGTTACCGCGGCCTGGTGCGCTACGAGGGGGTCGCCCCGGAGGAGAGCTCGGGTCGGTGGATGGACCTGTGCTCGGACCAAGTGCACCCGGTGGGCTGGTGTGCCACCCAGGGACGGCCGCTGATCCCGCCGGCAGTGGTGGAGAGCCGCCACTCGGACTGGACGCAGCTGCTGGTCAAACGGCTCACCGGCGCCCGCACCCTGCCGGCCAACTTCCACCACAAGGTGAGATAACGGCCAACTCCACCACAAGGTGAGATACCGACCAACTCCCACCACGTAGTGAGGAAAGGGGAGACGGACTGTCTGCCGCCCAACCTCCATCACGCGGTGAGACAGGAGGTGAGACTGCCGGTCAGCTCACATGGGATGGGATTGTCAGCTAACCTAAACCACATTGCGACACAACTGAGGGCACTATTCGTCAACTTTTATCAGTAGGTACAGGGAGAACTGAGATGTGGATCGGGTCTGCCTCCGTCTTACCTTGTAATTATTGCATTTAAATTCGCTCCTCTGTCTTAAAATCAACCAGTGACCACACAATATCACGCACGGCTCCCAAGGAAGCTTTATCATAGCCATAACTGCTACCCCTCCCCTCCCTCGCCCACTCCACTCTAACCCCCATTTTCCTCTCCCCCTCTCAGGTGCTTCGCAGCCTGTCGGGCGCTCTCCGCGAGGATCAGGTGGTGGAGGTGGTCGACAAGAACTGTATCAGCCAGGTGCGGGCGGCAGCCATCACCCAGGTCATCGGACGGCGACTGCACATCCGATACCTGGACGCGCCGGAGGATGACGGGGGGTTCTGGTGTCACGAGCATTCGCCACTGGTGAGAAAGGGGGAGGAGAGGGAGGGAGAGCGGAGGAGGGGCTTTTAGGGAGATTGCAGTCTCTAGTGCTAGTGCTACAGACACCTGCAGCGCTGGTACGCATGTTTCTGTCTGACATTCTGTTGAATATGTCCTGACCCTCAATCAGACTTAACCCTGCTATGCCAGCTCCTCCATACAATGTAAAAAAAGTTAGCATTTTCCATTGTCTGTCTAACCACATTTCGGCCCTAATTTCATTCCAATTTCCAATCAGAGCGGCCCCAGACGACTCTTTTCTAGCCTCATCTGACCCTATTTTATCCCGCCAGGTCCACCCAGTGGACTTGATTGTCTCGATTCACGGTGGGGCTGGGCTGTATCTGCTCCGTTTTACCTACTTTACGAGGTCCACCCAGTTGGCTGAGCCATCTCGGTGGGCTGAGCTGTCTCTAGTGTCTCTCTGACTCCTGGTTTACCCCTGTGTCTCCCCCATCAGGTCCACCCAGTGGACTGGGCCATTTCTCTGACCCCTGTTTGCACCTCTAAGCACTTGTTGGCTGTGCTGTCTCTTTGACCCCTGTGTGTCTTCCACTACGCCCACCCAGTAGGGTGGGTCATCTCTGTCGGCCACCGCCTCTGACCTCTGCCCCTTCTCCCCCCGCCAGGTCCACCCCGTGGGCTGGGCCATCTCTGTGGGCCACCGCCTGTCGGCACCTGCCGACTACCTGGAGCGGTGTCAGACGGGACAGTTTCAGCCGACCGATGTCACCGAAAACTGGCAGCCGCCGCTGCCGGCCGCTCAGGAGGGTTTCGCGGTGAGAACACACGGGGCGAGAGGAGGGGAGGGTACTGAATACTGATTACGGGAAGTTTGGGAAAGGAGTGCCGAACTCCTTAGATTGTGACTTTGTCGTTCAAAGGAATGAAACTCTCGCGACCCGCTCCTGTGCGGAAGTCTTGTCCCGTGTCTGGCATGTCGATATGAAGCTTTAGGCGCTAATCCTTCCTCGACCCTTCCCCTGTTTAAATTTGTGACGCTGTTGTGACTCTGTTCGCCCAGGTCGGTATGCGTCTGGAGGCGCTGGACCCCCTCAACGTCAGCTCGATCGGCGTGGCCACCGTCCAGCGGGTTCTCGGAGGCGGCTACCTCATGGTCCGACTGGAAACGATGCCGGTCGAACCCAACGAGCCGGGCCGGGACTGGTTCTGCTACCACGCCTCATCACCCTACATCTTCCCGGCGAGGTTCTGCGAGACGGTAGGCATCCCTCTGACTCCTCCTCATGGGTACGCGGACGGTGTGTTCTCGTGGGATACCTACCTGGCTGCGGAGGGCGCCACCGCCGCGCCGGCTCATCTCTTCCAGCGGCCGCCTCTGGCGCACGGCTTCCAGCCGGGTCAGCGACTGGAAGCAGTAGATCTGATGGATCCGCAGCTGGTATGTGTGGCTACAGTAGCGGCAGTGGTGGGCCGACTGCTGAGGCTGCACTTCACCGGCTGGCAGGAGCAGTTTGATCAGTGGGTGGACGCGGCCAGTCCCGATATATTCCCGGTCGGATGGTGCCGAATGGTTGGATACAAACTCGAGGCGCCCAGAGCTGGAGAGAAGGCTGCGGCGGGGAAGCGGGCCGGCCGCCGCCGCGTCGGACGGCGAGTGGTGAGCAGGAGGGCGCGGCCGGCCGGCAGACCACCGCGCCAGGTCCCGGGAGGAGACACCAGTGACGACTCTGTGGCGGCGGCGCCAGCGGCAACAGCGCCCGCAGTCCCTGATCTCCCCGCTGAGGCGGTGGAGGCCGCCAACACCGTCACAGAAGACACGGGCGGGGACGGCGCGGACGACAACATCCCACCACCGGAGACACCGCCTCCGAGTTCTGCTGAGAAGCTGATCCCTCGCCTGCTCGACTCGCCAGGCGGGGCGGCGCCAGCTCCCGGCGAGCTCAACCCGGAGGCGTGGTCTGTGGCCGACGTGGGTCAGTTCCTGCGAGTCAACGAGTGCACGGCTTACTGTGACAACTTTGAGCGTGCAGGAGTGGACGGGCCACGACTGCTGGAGCTTACCAAACATGAAGTACTCGAGCTCGCCTGCTGGAAGGTTGGACCCAGTCTGAAGATCGAGAACCTCGTGCAAAAGCTGCGCGCTCGCGTGGCGCCCGCCCAAGCGCGCTTCATGGCAAGCTTCAAGAAAGTATGATGCTCCGTCCTGGCTGGGGGCTGGCGTGCGGTTGGAACGCACGCGGCCGGCCCTCGGCAGAATATCGTGTTCTGTGTCGCACAGATGACAGACTGCCGCTGCCACTGTGACTGTATGGGTGTGTGTGAGGTGTGCCGAGGAGGGGCGGCGCCCGAGCCAGGGATCGCGGCCAGGTCCCTGAGTTGAGCTGTGAACGGACGAGCGCCCGTGGCGCCACAGAGGCAGGTATTTTTGCGCGCGCCGCACGTGCGCGTGTGTGTTGGGACGGACACCAGGTGTGATGCCACATCAGTGGGCGCGACAGTGTGTACCAGACGTGTGACGTCTGGGAGGGAGAGCGGACATCATGGTATGGGCGCTGGACTTTGCGACGAGACGGCGCCGGCGGCGGCGGCGGGCTCTCACAGTCAACACGGTGGTTCGGTGACACGCTAAGGCACGAGTGTTCGGAAAGCTACGCTATGAAGTGATACTTGCAGCTGTTTGAAAATGTCAGACCATGAATCGTCAGACATTTTCCCGTTAAAAACGTTACGATGCTGCTTGGGAACTATTGATTCTGTTGAATCGATTCCTACCGTCGCTTTCCCCGCCCGAACTCGACATAAACCTTCCGTTTTCAATCATCCAGCCCGCCGCCACCCCCGCGTTCGTCTCCTCTGCGCAAAGCCGCGGTCAGCATTTACTTTTAGCGCGCGACCTCTGGCGCGCATTTAGTATCGTGTCTATCTGATTTTGTCTCGCTGTGGGTACCGGCGGCTCCACCGCGGCCCCAGCCGTACGGTAGAGCGGCGCCGACCCCGCAGGGGCGTTTGTGAACACTTTTGTATGTACGCTTTGTCTCATTTGGCCGGCACGGTGCTGGCGTCACGTTGTCGCCTCATTTCTCTTAGATAAAGCCATACTTTGTGCGTTGGCCGCACTGTACAAATATACTACTACAATGTGCCGGTAGGTGAGAGCGGGAGACGAGTGAAATCGTGGCTCCTATAGTGAGTCGGATGGTATGTTATTTCATAGTCGATTTCATGGGACATTCACGGTGTCCTCTCACACTAGGTACGAATTGAAATTGAAACTCTGTTGCCGCCTCGGGGTCGACTTGCTTGCCACAGATCAATGGTCCCGCAGCCCTGGAATAAAAGGCTGTAGGGGCTGCTACAGGGCTGCATCTCCAGCCTCCAACAACCCATCCTGCTACCCAGAAGAACTCTGCGCTCGGGTACTGCGTTAAACATGGGTCATAATACACCATCTGAATACCCTTGCTTTTACTATCCCCATCCCCCTTTCCCAATAACAACTCGACTGTACTCAGGCAGTGTATTCAGACATGACACTGACAAAATGAGCCCGCCACAGCGCGCGCAGAAGACAGCAGTACAAGAACGACGCGTGATTGTACGATACGCAGTACCGCCGTCCTCCATACATTCATCACACGCACCATACTACGGACAAACATTCTGAGCACAGTCGATTACCACAGCTCAGAGGGCATACAAACGCGCATAGCGCATTTATCGAGTCCACAGTGCGTATTCACTTCCTTTCACGCCGTATGATTCAGCCAAATGTCTAGCTAGCACACGTCATTCACACTACAAACAAAGCAAACGTCGGTACATTCGCTGAGAAACACGCAATCAATCCAAGCACGCATGCACAAGACAAAATACAAGACGCCTCCATTCACGCAAACCCTATACACTCGCTCCTTTGCATTCACCAAGTTCCAACTCCAAGAGGTAATCGGCTGCGGGTAGCAAGCTCAGAGCCCTAGCGAATCCGTAACCCCATTTTCCTCTGAAGTGACGCATAACATGGTCGCATGTTACAAAGAGAACACGGAACTCACGAATCGAGCTAGCGACATGCGTTCCGCTTGTGTTTTCAAGTACGACGTCTATGCGTCAGCAATGGTGTGTGAGACGCAAACAAGACGCTTCGACGCTGCTGGCAAACAATACCACGTGCCATCCCTGGAATCACCACGTGGCAAAACGCCACGTGAAAACACAAGACGGACCAGTGGCACGTGCCGAAACACACTGCCTTCAGCCCATCACACGTGGCATGTTAGACACAGTTGCCAGGTACACCACCGCCTCGTGTCAGTCCTATCACGTGTCATCACCACGTGGGCGCACGTGTCTGTTCTATCACGTGGCAGCCGGCGCCTGGGAGGTGGCAGACTGTCCTGAACTCAGGAATGAGTAGGCTCCGTGCGGACACCGGTTGGCGAAATGACCGCGCTCACCACACTGAAACGGATAGATCGGGGGTGTCAGAACAGCTACATGTCATAACAGCTACTCAGTCGGGCTTGGAAACTCGAGACATTGAAATAGACGGGACGGATGGATGATTATCCAGTGGATTCGGTGCTTACCGAAACTCACGCTGTTTAAATCCGCCAGGGAGTAATAAGGGCAGCATGCCTAGACGTTTAGTGTACTATTGGTCTCAACTCTCAAGATAAGGGCCCAGGCGACCTGTAGTCTTGATGCGGTGAATGCCCTTACCTTCGCCACAGCGCGGGCCGAGTCGCGGCCCTCCTCCCACCCAGCCCCACCCCCACTCGAGTTGTGGCGAGGGTAATGGTATTCACAGCATCCGAACTAATAGGTCGCCTGGGCCCTTATCTTGAGACCAATAGTAATAGTATTGCCCAATCGCCCCCCCCCCCATCCCCTCCGTCCCTCCCGTGGTGACCCGCTGACTGACCTTGTAGCAGGTGATCCTCTCCGGGTCGTTGCGAGGAGCTCCACCTCCGATATACCGGGCCGCCGCCGCCTGTCCGGGGTCAAAGAAGGTCAGAGGTCAGGTCATACAAAGCAGAGTTAGAATATGAGAGAGAGGACAGAGGTCTGGGCAGTTGGGCACTCACTGTCCGATCCCAATGGAAACTGAACAATCGCTATGTAAAATGAAGCATTCGCAGATCAAAATTGCACTACCCCATTCAGTACGCTGTAAGTTAAATCCGACGTTCAGCCTTCAACGTGTGCAATCTGAACGACTCGACGAAAGGTAAGTACAAAAATCCCTACAGCAATGAAACACCCCGTCCAAAACATCTCGTCACTGGGAACCCCTACGCACCACAAAACCCGCCCGTGGCTCATTTTACACGGTATTCCTGCACCGTTAAAATCACTCGCCTCATATTTTTCGTTGGCCTTCTGGATCTGCGCCTCCCTCTTCTCCGGGGTGATCTTGAAGCAGTTGACCACCTTGTGGCCCTGTTCGCCGCAGTAGTGGCACGTCACTGGCTTCCCCTTAGCGCCCTTCACCGTCTCGTCAGTCAGCTGGGGCAGCTCGAAACGCGGGCTGAGGGGGGGGGAGGGGGGCGACGCGGTCAGAGGCTGAACGTTAGCCTCAAACACTCTGCACATTGCGACAAAATCAAACTAAAATGCCTCAGTTTGACTGATAGAATAGGTATGCTTATCTCGACATACTACATGCCGTAAGCTAATGGCATAATAAACACATAAAGGTGTTTTAGACTGAATGAATAAATTAACTATAGCTGCATGATTATGGCCGACCGTAACTCGGGCGATGAAGCATTGTACCACTGGTGGTGAGAGCCCGGGTTCGAGTCGCTCCGGCGCTCGATATATGAGACTCCTAACGGGGTTGGACCAACAAACACAGCTCAAACATAAACAAAACACACCCATCTTCTAAACCCACCAAGACTAGTCTTCTAACCCTCTCCCTCGTCCTGAAAACTCACTGGACCAGCTGGCAGGCGGCGCCGCTGGGACAGAATCCGGCCAGGTAGTTGAGGCACAGCACGCGGCGTACGTGCCGGTTACGGCAGAGCGGTCCGTGCCGACAGAAGCCGCGGTCGTACCACGGACAGTCGCGCTGCTTCGACTCCGGGTCAATGTGAAGGAACGGGCACTCCTTGTTGTGACACGCGTCTGAGGAGGGGTAGAGGGTGCGTTAGATGGAGTCGGTAGTGGCGTGCATTGAGTCAGAGTCATCGACATTCGACAAAGCATTCATAGTGAAGAAATTGAAGCAGCGTGGCAACTGCAGCTGACACTCGTAAAGTACTCGAGTGTCGTACACACGCAAGTACGATTATCGTATTAATTATTGTATGCGTACATATTATAAGGACATGACAGTGATGTGTCCCCATATTCCAGTCCCCATGTTATAAAAGATTAGTCCTTACCTAATTCAATCTTCAGAAATTTTTTCATCATCCACCCATTACCCCATCCACTCCACTTTCAACTGTCCTAAAACATCCATCCGACCCGCAAAACACAGGCCTCGTCATACCACCATACTGGTGTTTGACGGCACTGGTCATTCTGCATTCAACCCGTAGGGCCTTGATTCAACCCCTATATATGGCCTTGATTCAACCATACTTACTGAATTTGGCATAGAAGTAGCACTCGGGCATCTTGGTCATGTCGTACTCGTGCAGAAACTCGCACGAGTCCCCCTTCTTGCAGAGTCCGCGGAGCCAGTGTTTACAGACGATGGATCTGTCCCCACGCAGGTGCCGGAACGGACACAGGTCGCCGCGCGCACACCGACCCTTGGCGAAGAAGTTGCAGACCCCAGACATGGACTCTGAGGGGGAGAGTCACAGGGGGTCATATGAGGTCACGTTGGGTCACAGGAAGCAAACACATCATTTTATGGCCAAATGCGACGACGAGGAGTGAGGCAAAATATCTAGTATCATGTAAACTAACAACAAACCACTGAGAAACACACTAAGGTGAATTGTGTCTCCCCTTCTTTAATGTGACAATGAGCACAACAATTACCAGCTTACTTCCTTTTATGCAATACCACCTGGATATTCAGCCCAATTCCAGGAAAATTTCACTAAAGGACCGATAAAATCGCCATAAGAGTCATCAGTAACTTATCAACTAAGTGCTACCCAAAACATAACACACCAGCCCAGATAAGTCACACCATGTCTGCCCAGCCCCCGCAGAGTACTCACTGTCCATGCCAGGGAAGGGCAGTGATTGGGCGCCCAGCTGCTCCCGCAGCGTCACTTCGATATCAAACACGATGTCATCGACGTTAGCCACAATTGCCTCCATGGCTGCAGTGGGTGGGGGGGGGGGGGGGGGATATAGGGGATATGTGTACCGGGGGACAGGTGAGCAATATAAAGGGAGAGGGTGTGGGGAGGGTATTGGTTGCAGAGTTCCAGGGCCCTCCTCAGCAGCAGCTGAAGTCCAATTCACTCCTGAAAAAACAAGATAGAGCAAGATAGATTACCTACAGTTAGATACGTCCTGCGTATCAATACGTCTCTCATGCTATTGCTGCCACCGATTTGTGAAAAGTTGAGATATTTAGGTACACAAATTTCACTAAAGGTTGTGCACTGGTAGGTTGTAGGTGGTAGATTTGGTAAAAGCATTTAATAAGTCTGCATGGCTGTAGATTTTAGGTTTGAAGGTTATAGGTTGGTAGGTAGACTGTAGGCTAGTAGGTCAGGTTAGGTCAGGTTAGATTATGTTTTTTACTTTACGTTTTTTATTTGAGACTTTCATAAGTGAAATTCATGTGAATATCTCAAGAACTGAATAGTCTAGCCACTTTTCAAGAACGGGTGGCAGCATGTAAGACGCCTGCCATATGAATACCGCTCTTGGTAGGGTTTCCAGCCAACCAGTGAAATTTTCTGTATTGCAATGTAATAAGCTTCCTTGGAAAGGAATCTGATGAGCAGAGAATGCATCAGATTTAAGATGAATTCTAAGAGTGGAATGAACTACCTACTTAAAAAGACCTGAAAACAATAGGAATCAAAATTGGATACCACACTACATTAAAAATATAAGGTACTTTTTACTTTCATGCCCATTAACCCGCGCACCGACGGGGGTCTGCGCCAACTTCGCACCGACGGGGGGGGGGGGGCGGATGACCGCCCCCCCCCCTGAGATCTCGAGAACGAAGCAAGATAGCGACAAGCGGTAAACGGCACCGGATACGCACGGTCAAGATCTACAATTTTTACTAAGGTCATTTTCAGGTCAGGTCAAAGATGACGTCACAGGGGTCGAAAAAGTCAAAATGGCGGCGCTAGATATGGAGAGTTTTTCTCGAATAACTTTCGAATTAGTCAAGATAGGAACAAACTAAGGGCAGCATCGTAATCCTCTCGTCAATCCGCATCGAATGATATATATGTTGACCTCGAAAGGTCAAGGTCAAAGGTTGACCTCAGGTCACGTGACCTCGAGGTCATCATGTATATCATTCGATGCGTCTTGACGAGCTGAACACAATGAGACCATTCACGCATCTGAATCTTGTTCCTGTACGGAGTTATTGGCCAAAAACCTTTGGTGACCTTTGATGACGTCACATGACCTCACAGCTGCCCAACAGCAAAACAGACCTCAAGGTAGTGAAGGTCGATCGTATATGAAGTCATGTATGGTATATGGGACCATTCCGACCCGTTTTAGTGGTAAAAACAGGGAGTTGATTTTTCCCCCATTGACTTATAATGGGGAGGTCGCGAAATTGACCTGACCTTAGGTCACCGATATCAAAATTCCGAGATATACAAATTGTAGCTACTAATGACCTAATAACATCCTGCGACTTTCAAAGGCCTCCGACATCTACTGTAGCTCTGGCACGGTGACAAAGTTGCAAAAAAGTGACTTGAGGTTGGGTCATTCAAAGTGACCTGGTGACCTGACCTTGAAAGGTAGGAGGTTCAAACTTGCACACCATGTGTAAAATTGATGAGGGAATAGTCACACCAAATTTCGCGGCGCTTCGCGCCGCGGTTTTCCCGCTATTCGCGAAAAACCTCAGGGGGGGGGGGCGGATATCCGCCCCCCCGTCGGTGCGCGGGTTAAGGTCTAGCTACACTTTGCGGGATCGTACCTCCGTGACCTGCAAGTTTGTGGGTTTCGCAGAAAATCGGTATGCAGGTAAGTTCAGCTTTAATACCTACACACAGGGCACAAATAGGAAATACACACAGGGTCGGCTACACTGGGATCACGCAGATTCAGTCAAGGAAATCCCGGATGTTCAGTACAGGAAATGCCGGATAGTCAGGACGGTCAGGTCTGGGTCAGGATGTTCCGTACCGATATAAAGTTCAAAGCTACAAACTTTTTTGCAGTATCTGCGATATTGCGTGATATGAGACAGTTGTTGACGCACTTGGTCAGTAGGCGGAACTATGGTCAAGCGTACCCATTTTCGGGAACGCATTTTCGTTCCCATGTTTGGGAACGATAAACCCAAATATGGGAACGCCATGTAGGCATTATTTAAAACAAGAAAAAGAACCGTTAAATGACGTCCAAAAAATATAAAACGATCGTGAACCGCCTGATATTTGTCTCAATATTGTTGGGAAAGAGTTTGATATTGTAAGGCCCATCGGCCATCGTAGTTTCAAATCGTTCCCCTATTTCTGAAGCAGTCCATCATCCGGGCCGCGAGCCCAAATTTGGGAACGCTCTCGTACACTGGCGCTGCAAGCGTTCCTTATTATGGGAACGGCGTACCCAAAATTGGGAACGATTTCACCGACGCCTTTCAGGGGCTCTTTTCATTAACAAGCATCACGTCCAACGCCGCAAATTATTGTTAACGCAACAATCATCAGATGACCTTTCCGGCAAGACCGTCGCATGTTTCGCCCGGTCTTCTGCGCTTTTATTCCCGTCGATCTCGCAGCGGGCACGCCCCCCTCTGCAGGATTACGTAATTCACAACGCTCAGCGATGTTCAACAAGGTCTTCCATACCTATATCCACCGTCCGCGCCGAGGGTGGAGACATGTCAAGCACCTGTCTGTTTATCACCGATAGTTGACGAGCACAAGGAAGTATCCAAAAATGGGAACGCTGAATATGTTACACCCTCAAAACACCTAGTCCCAATGAAAATCTAGTTTTTTCTTTCTTAATGGGTGTAAGTGGCAAAAGGCCTGGTAGGATGGGCACGAGGAATGATCGAAATCAGCATAAAAATTATAAATAAGCCACACAGAGCGACCTATATAAGAGAAATTCCCCCAAAACGATCATGCTTAGAAACACGGAAGACAAAAACCACGCTCATGACGCTCCTTATAAAACAACGATAAACAGCTAGCATCCAAATAAAATATGTCTTTCAGGGCTGATAAAATACAGCTGAATAATTTTCGACCACTTAAACTGAGTTTACAACAGTAGTTCGGTAAAATCACGCACGTTTTACGCGGTCATCCGCCTCGACACCAAATGTCAACAATATTACCTCGGGACTGTGTTCGCTTGCATATGTCAGCATCTGGTGTCGCTAGTATGAAACTTCATAACCAGGCGAAAATTATTATACTTCACCTCAAAATGTAAAAAACACTTCATTTTCCTTAAAATTGCATGTTAAATGTAGTATAACCCATTTTTTCACCATTCCGTCATTTCAAAAAATCATTAAAAATATCATTCGACGGTCAATTTCCTTGTTCAACGGTCAGATTAAAGATAATTTTATAGAGACTTAGTAGATACTTAAATTAGCGTGCACTTTTTTGAGACATGATGCACTAATGAGTTTTAGTGGGCGAGCGGCCGAAAAATTACCTTCCGTTCTCATAAATGGGAACGCCCGTTCCCATATTTGGGAACTCCGTTCCCAAAAATGGGAACGTTCCTATATTTGGGTACTCGTGACCATAGTTCCACCTACTGTGGTGGCGAACCGTATGAATCCAGGTGACGTAATTAATAATTGTTTCTTTCATTTTCATGTGTTTTTGATGTTTTATTAATAAAATAAACTGATTATAATACCATTTATTAGTTGTTATTATTACGTCAGCATACAATGATTCACTGAAATTCTGGAAAATCGCAGTAACCGATGTCAAGGGAGTCTCGCAATCACGGATCTGCAGCTCATGCACGTAATTTCCTGGACGGTCACGCATAGTGTAGCTCAGTCTATACTATCGATGAATTTATTAAATCATTCAATCCAAGGCCATTCAATCAAAATTGAAATGAAAACGAACGACGACACAGACCGACATTACAACCAAGGCTATTACAACCTTATTATAGGTATCTTGTTACAACCGATGGCAGACTAGCTGCTGCAGCTGCTGAGCACCTTACGACGCTTACGACTTCGACATTTTTCCAAATAAACAAATCATCTAAAAACAAGCAGGATAGCTCCTGTTACTTACCTGAGCAGTTCTTAGCTTCAAAGGTAATAGGTATCTATTTTTCTACACAACCTCAGCTCACAACCTGCACAACCTGAGCTCGCAGCCAGAGCCCACCTTCACGCAATTCACGTGAATATGACAGAAATGACGCACAAAGAACGAGCTCGGCGTGTTTGCTACCAAATTTGAAATGGTGTACCAAAAACCTTCATTTGTCGTTTTCCCTTCATCGTTAACATTAGCATTATGACTCCAACCTGCAATATTCGCTATTTTACTTGCCTTTTATCAGTGTTGATCTCGCTGGTCACCGAACATACGTTTGAAATATTTGCCTACCAGGTGGACTGCCTAGACCAATCGCCAGAGTAAGCCGGATGCATCTGACGGCGACATCATGTCACTTTTCACTGCCCAACTCACTGCAACTCCCAGTCCCAGTTCTCAGTCAATTATGCAGTCAATTATGCAATTATGTCAATTATGCAGGCAGCGACAGCACTATTCCTGTTTCCACCTGATTCCTGAATTCCAATGTGACGGCCAGTTATGCCGACACTACTTTTATAGGCACCTAGCTACCCATACAATTTTATTGACGGTAGGTAGTAGCGTACCCGTACATCTTAGAATTCACAGATCATTCCATAGGTACCATAATTTGTTCCTTCACCTCGAATTTTCAACTGAGGACGGATTTACCTATGCCGAATTGATCTCATTTTCTTTTGCGTATGACCGTTCTATGCTGTATTTGATTTTCTGACATTTTCCGGCCCACGTTGATCTTTATTCTAAGTACACATCCATTACGCCTCATACAACTAAAGCAGGTGTCATAAAGGAAGAAAGCAGAAATGAAACACACCTCAAACTGATTATCATTTATTTCATAAACATACGAATCACAATCGAATAATCATGACATAAGCAACAGGGACTATGAAGCACACACGTCTATAACGGCTCACAACCTATTACAAATGCTAAGCAATTTGGACACATTAGCTAGCTTCTTATACGCACTTTACGTACATATCCTAGGAAGCAGTTGCATACAGTCTGGCCCCATACACGCGAAAACTTGCGTGCTCGTACAAAGCTGAACCAAATATTTCGCCATCAAAGGGAATCGAACCCACCAAGCGCGGTCAGAATCGTTTCACTGGCAGTGTTTGTCAAATGCGTGGCAGTGGCGGTGGCAGTTGGTCTGACGGCGAGCGAGCCCGCACAGACGGGAGGAAGGCGTTTTAGGCAGGATACAACCGCGGCTAGAAATCACAGTCCACTATATCCCCTTCCCACGATGTAATTTAACCGAGTGAAACACGAAAATGACGACAATAGGACGATAAATCGATAGATACACTACTTGTGGACCCTGTCTTTATACGTAGCACCAGATACATCACATTAACAGTTGCCTTTATTTCCGAAAACGCTAGCTGCCGACGAACCACCCCATTATCACTAATAGCACCATCTTGTATCAGCGCCATCACCCAACGACCAACGTCTCACCTTACCCTGCCGACGAGTACTTCAAATCTCTCACACCCCTTCTACTCCTTCTATTCTCATCATTCCTTTTCATTCCTGCTCTCCTATTGCCGTGCCATTTCCCGCCACAGCTCTAGCCACCCTAGGATTGAACGGCGCGCTGTCATAAAACTGCCGCCTGGGCAGACGCGGGTTCGAATCCCACACAGGGCGAACTCTTCGGCATACGGCGCAGCGGGAGACTCGCGAGAGCAGGTTTCCGGCCTTGAGCGTCTGCTGCTGCGGCTGCCGGAACTGCTGCCGGTCGTCGATGGTGGCTAGCCAGTAGGAGAAGGCGGTGGTGAAGTAGTTGCACCGGCCGTGGCCGTGGCACTCGATGAACGGGGTCGGTCGGAACTCCTCCAGGCAGGAGCCCGGGGAGACCAGCGACTGGCCGCCGCCCTCCGCTCCGGCGTCCGTGTGCTGGGGAAACGGCGCACAGTGCTCCATCAGCTACCACTTCCCCGGCCAAAAGCTGCACTACCAGTGAAGAAATATGTACCAATAAAGAAAGAGGGCTTTCCCTGCCCTATTTCTCCCACCAAAAGCAAAATACTGACCACGGGAAAAGAGAAGCCGGTCCAAATGGCCTCCCTTTCCAATTTCCACCACACAGAGTAGAATAGCAAGTCTAAAGCCTCCTGGTAAGCCTATATTCTGGTAATCTTGTCTAAAATCTCCCTCTCGTGGTCTCCTCTCCCCACAGAGAAGCAGCTATGTACTGACCATGAGGAACGAGTACCCGATCCAGAGCGTCTCCCAGTTCAATGGACACTCCGGCACGTTCAGGTCCTGGCTGTGCACGGCGATGGCTCTCGTGTCCGTCTCACACACCGTACACCTAACGAAGGACAGGAAGGCTCAGTGATCGTAGCCGCCGTCATATACAAGCGAAGCCGGAGTTTATGTTACACACAAGCTGTGATTATTTGGGAGAGACTAAATAGGCTGCTAAACAATTAATGAAATTATTATCTCCACTGTCGGTATTATACAGCAAAGTAGGAACTATCGAACTAGTACGCACTAGTACATCATAGTACACGCACACCAAACCGAACAAATCGATACAATCATTCAACAAAAACCGTATCCATCATCGAACACCACCAATGCCATCTCATCACTTATTTTCATTGCGATAACTTAACAATCTCTGGCACTGTATTCATCTTCTATCTACCACCACAAACCATCATCCTCTTTTCCATCCTCTTCGTCGGCTCACCTGGAGATGTAGCGCTGGATATCTCGACCCCTGATGGGCGTCATCATGGCCGGCATCGGCTCCGGCGTGTTGAGCCAGTAGCTGTAGTCATTCCGCTGGGCGTACTCACACTTCTCCTGGGTGTCACAGAACATGTACGGCATCGTGGAGAAGCGTTGCAGGCAGGAGCCCGGTGTGCCTGTGGGGGGGGGGGGAGGGAGGGAGGGAGGGGGAGGGAGAGAGAGAGAGAGAGAGAGAGAGAGAGAGAGAGAGAGAGAGAGAGAGAGAGAGAGAGAGAGAGAGAGAGAGAGAGAGAGAGAGAGAGAGAGAGAGAGAGAGAGAGGGAGAGTGAGAGTGAGAGAGAGAGAGAGAGAGTGAGAGAGAAGAGAGAGAGATAGTTAGTGAGGAAGTGCTTCTTCGAGTCACCGTACCTTTTACATACGAACTTCTCCTTGACGACTACAGGGGAGTGAGCAATTCGACTTTTGGTCAATTATTTTCCCTCGAAACAACTTCAGTGACAAGTTAGAGCGTGGAGATTTATTATTTCGTTACAAGGAATAAGAGACGAATATGATAATCAGGTAACGAGGGGTGATCTGGAACGTTAGATTAATTGAATCACAGTAAATGGCCATTGGTTACCTTATGGGGCTTCACGTGTGCTACAAGTGTTCAAACAAAGTCGTCATCAAGAACGTTAAAGAGGAAATTTGTTCGGAATGCCAGCACCCGCCTAATGGTCCCTCCTCTCACTGTGGGAGTGGGACCGTCTCCTTACCGAGGTCAGCGCCGTGTGCCTTGGAGTTTCCTGTGACATGCAGCAGGGAGAAGCCGTCCCAGAGTCTCTGCGTGCCCGGCGGACACTGCGCCGGGTAAGTCGACTGACTGTGACGAGTAAAGAAGAAGCCCCGGGACGGCGGCAGCGGCGGCGGCAGCGCGTCGTCGCCCGGCGGACCGCCGAACCCTGGCGGCCCCCGAATGCCCGGCCGGCCGGGGATGCCCCGCTCGCCGGGCTGACCTTTGGGCCCGGGCATCCAGCCCGGGGGTCCGTCCAGGCCGGGGATGCCCGGCTCGCCGGGGTCTCCGGGCCAGCCGCGGGCACCGGGCAGGCCGGGGGTGCCCGGCGCCCCGTCCGGACCGCGGAAACCCTCCGGCCCCACCTCCCCGGGCTGGCCTCGGGTCGACCTGCCCGGCTCTCCGGGCTGGCCCTTCCGTCCTCCGGGGCCGCGGCGACCGGGGAAGCCGGCCGGCCCGTCCCAGCCGGGTGTGCCCGCCACTCCCGGGTCGCCCTTGCAGCCCTGCAGGCCGGGGTCTCCCGGCGGCCCTGGTGGCCCCGGTGGCCCGTCGAATCCATCGCGGCTGGCCGGGGGACCGGGCTCGCCCTTACAGCCCCTGAGGGAGGAAAAGTGCAGGATCTGACGCGGTGTCTCTGGGCAGTACCACTTCATATAGTGACGGGCAAGGCCGCATGACGAGTGATGAATGCAAGAGAAGTGAAAAGTCATAGTCCTATTCCTGCTTTAAAAAAAAAAAAAACTCATAACGGTATCCATCACTTCTGGGTAAGGCTGGTCACCTCGGATCCGTTCCTCCAGCCGGGGGCCACTCACCTGAGGCCGGGCTCTCCGGGCTGTCCGGGCTCTCCGGGCGAGCCCCGGTCGCCGTCCCGCCCACCGGGTCCGGGTCCTCCGGGACCTCCGGGCCGACCGGGAGTTCCGTCCCAGCCGCGAGTGCCGGGCTCTCCGGGCGGACCTCTGGACGACACTCCGGGCATTCCGTCGTAGCCGGGCGGTCCGGTGGGCCCCGGCCAGCCCGTCTCCCCGGGCGCTCCGGCACTGCCGGGCGGTCCGGGCGCGCCGTCCGGCCCGTCCGGACCCCACTCGCCGCCATCGCCCGGAGCCCCGGGCAGGCCCTCTCCGGGCCGTCCGCGCGGGCCCACGTCTCCGGGCAGACCCGGCATGCCGTCCCGTCCGTTGGGCCCCGGGGGTCCATCTGGGCCCGGCTCGCCGAAGATTCCCGGACGGCCGGCCGGGCCACCCGGGCCCGTCGGACCGAAGTCGCCTGGCTCACCCTTGATGCCGACCTTACCCGGGCAGCCACGAGCGCCGGGCTCCCCGGGAAGGCTGGTGCCGGGAGTACCGGGAGCACCCGGAGTGCCGGGGAGGCCCGGCGGACCGGGAGGGCCGGGGAGGAAGCCGGGATAGCCGGGCTCGCCTGTGGAGGAAGACAGCACTGGGGTCACCGCAGCCTGGGGGTCCGGTGGCTTGCGCAGTAACGCCTATTGCGTGATCCAGATTCCTTATCTATATGTACAGATTCTGATGCTCTATGACAATCACGATCTAAATTCCGAAAAAGTATAGAAAACGCATCCTCCTTTACATGAGC